CTACAGGGTCCAATTGTTTGAACATCACAGGGCATTCCCATGGCCCACCTCCGGAGATGACAGACTAGGCAACTCTCACTGAGGGAAATTTAGAAAGGGGTGTTGGAGAGGCCTGGACTGCTGCAAGTGCTGACACCTTCTCTCCTAGAGCCAGCTCTGGGACATCTCAGGTTGTGCACCCCTGGGAGGAAGTCCACCCACCAAAGGCTATGGCCCATGTGGAGACCTTGGGGTTGGTCAACGGGAGAGGATCTTGAAAGGATATCAGTGGGACCTCCAAATGTTGTGGGGTAGAGACCCAATGACCACTCAGCACAACCAAAATCTGAAATGAGAATCTGTATTAATCCATGGTGATTTCCTGAAGAGAAACACTTCTCACAGAGCAGCCTGGAATGTATCTTACAGGGAGCTTTTAAAGGCAAAAATCACAGAAAAACTACATCTTGATTGCCAGTTGCAGAGGGAAATAGAGCAAGGAGGCAGTTTAACAGGAGCCAAAAACAATATGCAGTTAGCTGGGGCATTTTGACCCTGACTGACTAGAACAGGGTTGCATACTTTCCCATGGGACTTTTCGTGGCAGGATTGAAAATGGGGGTTGGGGGCCACTTTCATGTTAAACCAAAGATGGCTCCAGCTGAGACAAGATGGAGGAAACTTTGCCCTGCCACATAACTCGGATGTAGAAAAAGACAGACCAGAAATAATACTGAATAACAATAGTGATAAATCTCCCACCAAAGAAAAGCCTAAAATATAAGGTTTTCACTTGTAATTTCTCTACCAAATACTTAAAGACTTAACTCCAATCATTAAACTCTTAAAAATAGAGAGGAAGATTGTCCATGAGAAGAGAGAGGGAAGGAGAGCAAGAGAGGAGCCACCGACCAAGAGAGGCAGCCAGGGCCATGAGACTGGAGTGGCCAAAGTGGCTGACTTACACAGGGATCAGGCAGGGGGAAAGGAAGTGGGAGCCCTGTCTGTGGGAGGAAGAGGATTAGGGGAAGGGGAGGGGTGAGAAGTTCTGGGAGGAGCCACAGGTACTGAGGGATGCTGGGAGAACTGACCAGTGTCCCCTTTGATATGTTAGTAGGCACCTCAGTTAGCCATTTGCCCCAGGTTTCTGGGACCTAACAATGCCCTCTTCTGACTTCTGAGGACACCAGGCATGCATGTGGAGTTCAAACATACACAAAGACAAAACACCCAAACACTATGTATGTATAAATAAATACATTTATAAAAAGAAATACTAATTTTATAAAAACCAGCAATACCTCATTTCAAGGCAAAATAAGGACAATACAAGAAAAAGTTAGAGACCAATATTTATTTCTTTTTTTTTTTTATTAAGAGCTTTTCTATTCATTTTACATATCAACTACAGATTCCCCTGTCCTCCCTCCTCCCACCCCCAGCCTTCCCCCGGAACCCACCACCTTATTCCCACCTCCTCCAAGGCAAGGTCTCCCATGGGGAGTCAGCAGAGGCCAATATTTCTAATGAACCTACATAAAAAAAATCCTAAAGAAAACATGGTAAAGTTTGTTCAACAGAACATGAAATGGATCGTCAACTGTGGGCTATTGTGATGGCTCAGCAGGTAAAGGTACCTGCTACCAACCCTGACAACTCCAGTTCAATCCCTGGGTCCCACACTGAGAGTAGAGAACTGACACCCACAAGTTGTCCACTGACCTCCACATGTGTGCCACGTCACACATGCACACAAATAAATAAAATGTAGTGAGGTTGTTTTAAAGATCATACAGGATGATCAAGTAGTATTTGTTTCTGGGGTCAACATATGCAAATCAATAAATATCCCATACAACATTAAGAGAATAAAGGCCAAGTTCCTGTAATCATTTCATTCTATGCAAAGAAGCATTTGACAAAATATCTGCCCTGCTAAACTCTTAATACAAAGATTGAATGATTAAGGAATAAAATGAAGAAACAGAATGAACAGAAGTTGATCAAAAGGTTTGAGAATGAAACTGTGTAGATAAAAAGATGTAATGGGCTGAAGAGATGGTTCAGCAGGGGAGAGTGCTTACCGCTCTTGCAAAACTGGGGGATAATTTTGTTGATCAAGAACATTCCTATTGATATATTCTACAGTAAACAAAAATTCTCAGTAATTTGCAGGTGGAAAAAGGCTAGGGCAAAGCTGGCTAGGGCTGCTGCCAGTCACTGCAAAAGATGCCCAAACTGTCAGTTTTATCTCACTTTTGATTTTGGATAAGGATACAGTCAAAATCATGGTGAAAAGAATAGTGACTGGCCTGAAATTTTGTATAGACTTATTTATTTTAAAGTTTAAGTCCTTTAAGGATGTGATTTCAGGAATGAATGAAGCGTCATTATTAATATAAAACATTTTTTCAAAGGAAAGCAAAAGGTCAAAAAGCATGATGGAAATGGTATTGGTGGGACTGTAGAAACAATCTAAGATTTTAGAGTATGGATTTATGTGTCTGCATGAATATGTATGCATGCTTAAGGTACAGAATATAAAAGAGTATCTAAAATATGTAAAAAAGCATATAATGAAAGCAGAAAATTTAACATAGCTATCAAATTAAAAAATAAACTTGGTCTGACAGTAATTATTCAAATTTAAAAGTTCACATATAGTACCAAGTTCTGGTTAAGGCAGACAGCAAACCATACATATTGGAGGCAGACAAAGATATCTTCTCAGTCTTTGGGAGGAATCTTGATAGAATCCATTTCAATGTGAAATTTAGGTTCTGATATCAAACCACAACTTACGGGAAGTGGAGGAAATTTGGACACCTACAGAGAAGCCAGTATGCTGTGAGATACCCAGTGGAGCATGTATGCCATGAAAGCAGGAACACCATCTCCAGATATGGCTGTGTTGTGACTAGGCTACCCCATTTAAGTTGACCTCCAGTGAAATTCAGGAAATCCTTAGGACGTATGTTAAAAACATATATTCCACTGAACTGTAAAATGTAAAAGAAAAAGATAAATTTCTAGATGCATATGACTGACTAAAATTAAACCAAGATGAGATAAATAAAAACTTACCTATTTCAGCAGACACTCCATATGTCTTTAAGTCACTTGTTTTCATAGTAATATGTTGTTTCAAGCATAGTAATTTCATCCTGCCTGAATCAGAAACAAAAATATCCTACAAATACCAAAAAAAAGGTGAAAATAATTTTCATGCCTCTGGGATACATTATACATGTCTTCAAATTTCTCTTGTGATGGGACATAAAAATGTACGGTTGGTGCTTGATTTCCCCACACTCTTTTTTTTTTTTTGAGGAAAACATTTCCCCTCAAACATCTCCCCAAATTATTTTAGGTCCTTGGCAGAAGCTATAGAAGTATTCTGTCAAAAAAAGATCATTCCCAATAATGAAGAATAGTTCATGGACACAAAGCCTGCTCTTTTGACTAAGGTCACTATTCAGATCCTAAAAGGACCATATAGGTAGGGTGAACCACAAGTTCTAGAGTCAGTGGTTGGACTTTGAAAGTCAGAGAGACTTGTGGAATTCCAGTCTTGTTTGGGTAAATTCCTTGACTTGGAACAGTTGACCCTTATTAATAAGACAAGACATAATGATACTGAATGCAAAAATGTCAACATGTCTTTGTTCTTCCCTGCATCCAATGACCTAGGCAACACGTTTTTTCTGTCGCTACCATCAAAAGGTGGTATCTTTTTCTATCCTTTGCAACTGAGTTGACCTCATTTGGCCACAACTCACATAACCTTGTGTCTCTTAAAGTGCATTAGTCTGATACCTGGGCTGAAAAGGTCTTGAATGGTTTTCCTTTCTATTTTAAGACACCTCCATTTCTATGAGAACAAGTTCACAATAGCCTGCTGCAAAGACGAGATATCCTGAGGGATTTGGTAAAGATGCCTCGGCTGATGCCAGCTCACCCTTCTGAGGCCATGCCATCTTGTCAACCATCCACTTACCAGATGCACCAGAAGTAGCCCAGCTGAACCTCTATTGAGAAGCAACCCAATCACCAACTAATAAGCTTAGAAGTGGTTTGTTATCCAGGGATAGAAAAGTAATGTGCCCTTATAGGCATGATGCCATAACTTAATGATATTCTAATTGTAAGTTACCAGGTAAATGGCAGCCTCTATGTATGCATTAATTTCCCTTCCCACTAATTAAAGTTAGATCTCTTGCTAGATGGTGTTGAACTATACAGGACATTTTGCAGACATTTGTGCATATGGTTGGGTCCTTAAATTTACACAGTATTCCACATCACAGGAGAAAACAGACATCCACAGTCTGACAAGTAGATCCAAGACCAAACTGGAAAAAAAAAAGGAATTTTGCTTTTAATCTATTTAAACTACAGAGGGCACGTCTGTGGAAAGATCAGGAGACAAGGGTTTCCCTCCTGTGCCCACCTTTGGACCCCTCCTGCTTGGAGCTCCCTGCTTTCTTTTAGGACACTGTTACTCCCATTCATTGGGACCTAAGCGAAATATTGACAGGGAATTGTATTTCTTCACCTATGACATAAATGGGAGAGATTCTCAGGCCCCTCACCTTATTGAGGTTAGGAAAGTCATAGCCCGTAGACGAGGAATGTGACAGACCTGAACTCAAATCTGCTGAAGACTCCATGAGTTTTGATGATTTAGTACAGTAACCGAAATGTGTATGTGTGTGTGTATACACACAGTATATATATAATATATTATATATATATAAAATATATATTATATATAATCAGTAACAATATATGTGTATATGTAAATATACACATATATCAGTAACAATAACTATTCCACACAATGATAATATTTTGGATATACTGGGTTTTATTACAATCACTATCGCCTGTTTTAATTTTAATATTAATACTAGAAAGTTTAATATTACACTTGGTGTGTTACTCCCCCTTTTTATATTGGCTATTGCTGATTCAGGGGACTGCTTCCCATTTTAAAATACAGAATTCGGGAAGAGAGCTAAGGAACAAAAATTGTCATAAAGTTCTTTTCTATTGAGAATAATATACATACATATGATTCATAAATCGGTATGACTTTAAATATGATATTAAATGCAATGTCCCCTTTAGGGTCAGCTTTAGTACAACTGTACCAAGAACTTGTCATTCCAGCTTCGCAGGGCAGTGCTGGGGCCTGATGGGGCGGGACCTGAAAGTCATCCAATCAGCAGCCCGATAGTGAGACCTTCCAATCAGACGTTTAGAAAGGGTGGAGGGGGCGGGCTTTCACGTTTTGTTTCTGAAGTCCAGGATCTTGGAATCCTCCGCAGGCTGGGTCTCTTCCGGTGTGGACGCTGCCTCGGCCCCGCTGCATCCGTTTGCCCCGCGTCTGTCGGGTACCGGGCCATCCACGGGAGGACGTGGACACCGCGGACGCCGGGCCACCATGGTGAGTGTGCATGGCGCCACGAGACTGGAGGGAGGCTGCGTGGAGCCCGTGGGAACCGGCTGCGGCCGGCGATCGCTGAGGGAGGACGGAGGGCACGGCCGAAGCCAGCTGCTGAGTGTGTGCGTGGCGCGGCGAGGCTGGAGGCTGCGTGGAGCCGAGGGGAGCCGGCGACTGGAGGGAGGCTGTGGCGGCCCCGCCTTCCCGCGGCTGGCTCCGGAGGCGGCCGGGTTGATCCCCGGTGGGTGGGCCGTGTGTTGGAGACCCCCGTGTCCTGCCACGCCCCCCGAGCCGCCGGGCAGTGGGCGAAGGCCAAGGGTCCGACCCTGCCGTCCTGTCAGATCGCTCGCTAGAAAGCGGCTTGCTCCCGGACTGGAGTCCTCAGCGCTCCGGTCCAGCAGCTCGGATTGTGTGGCGATGACCGGATCATCAGCGGGTCAGGGTGTCCCAGCTCTCGTGTGCGTTTCCCGCAGTGGAAGGAGCTGTGTTCTGTGAGGAGCCCGGCCCCTCCCGAGCGTTCCGGATAAACGCGAAGCAGAACCTCATAGCCAGACGTCTGCTCTTCCTCTAGCCTCGCTTCTCTCATGGGTGGCAGAAGATTCCTATCTCCCGACTGCATTCCCAAACACTAACTTAAAACAAAACAAAAACAATATTAACATCCATTTCCCACGCTGCATTTCAAGTAGACATAAGTTTTGTTTGGTTGATTTTGATTTTTTTCCCTCCACATACTGGGTGACACTTTTTAAAGGATTTCCTCTGGATATTTCACATAAAATCAATGGACACTTTATTTTTAAAATCCTAATGCCTCTCCTTTTGTCTGTCTTAGACATAGGAACCCAATCAGAATGCTTTGGGGTTGAGCTTCCCCCTTGGAGGTTTTACATAGTGATGGGTCTATCCTCATCTTTCCTTGCCCCAGTTTCAGAGATGCCTAACACCAGCTGCCATGTCTCTGGTGTCTATGAGCATCCAGTGCGTATCAGTGTCTGGGCTCAGTCACCTTAGCAGCCTGAGGTGTGAGGATAGAACCTACTGGGAGCTGATACTGGGAGCCACTAGATGCTTCGGTATACACCCATCAGAAAGGTACTTCAGCTATTTCAGCTTTTTGATAATATTCTGTGCTTAGGATACGGAAGGTCTTCTGTTTGCTTAATTAAATCTTTGGTGCAAGTTTGTTAGAATGAATCTAGGCTGCCAAGTAATCATGGGAAGTGTGTGCTGTAAACCAGTTCTGGACATAAAGGGGTCTTTACTTTCTGGTCCTTCTGTGTTACTTGTGGGGATGGAAGGTGGTAGGGCTGATGGGCATGTTTGTATCCTTGTTTAAAATCACTAGGTTTTTTTTTTTTTTTTCTGCATCGTTCTTTTATTATTACTTCTTTTTCATTTATTTATCTTCTGAGTGGGGCAGGTGCATGCCAGCCGAGGTGTTCCTGTGAGGTCAGAGGACAACTTGCAGGACTTGATTCTGTCCTTCCATAATGTGAGTTCAAGGGACCAAATTTAGGTTGTGACAACAAGTGCCTTTACCCACTGAGGTGTTGATTACTGAGAGAATGCATTAAAAAGCAAGTCCTTTAAATAAAGGAACAATAAAAGGCATTTTTTTTAGACATGGAAATCTGTTTTGCGAGTTTACCTTTCTCAGCCTGTCAGCAAGGCAAACCTGTCTGTAAGTCTGCTTTTCTCAGCGGGAGACCAGGTAGCAAGGCGTGAGTTTTACATATGGAACCAGTTCAGGCTAGTAGTTAATTGGGTCTCCGTTCAAAGCCTTTTTTATTTAAGAGACTCAGATAATTTAAACCTTTTAAAGTTTTAAAAATTTGTACCATCAGCAAGTAACACGTATGACTTTTGTACCCCAGGTTATTGTAAAGCCAAAATATTTGTAAGGTGAAACAGACTTTCTAGCTATGAATGGATTGATCTGGGACTGTAGCCTAGTGGGAGCGTCTAGTTGAGGTCAGCTAAATAAACCTTGTGATAAAGCTAGGGTCCACTGCCAATGCCATCCCGGAGATCTGAGAAGAATGTGTTTGAGTAGGAAGTATAGACCAAATGGCCTCTGTATCGATTAAGACTTGGCTGGGTGATGGTGTCACACGCCTTTAATCCCAGCACTCGGGAGGCAGAGCTGGGCAGATTTCTGTGAGTTCTAGGCCAGCCTGGTCTACAGAGCGAGTTCCAGGACAGGCACCAAAACTACACAGAGAAACCCTGTTTCGAAAAAAACAAAAACCAAAACTAAACCAAACCAAAACAACAACAACAACAAAAGTGATGAAGACTTACCCGCTATCTGGATGGGCTGCCTGGGCTCCTCCATGGTAATCTCGATGCCTTTGTGGTAGAGGTCCCGGGGCAGCATCAGTCTTTGGCCACCAGGCCTAGAAAGATCCAAGAAACTTTCCTGAAGAGGAGGTGTTGTGGATATCGCTCTATATAAATAAAGCACTGATTGGCCAGTGACCAGGCAGGAAGTATAGGCGGGACAAGGAGAGAGGAGAATTGAGGAAGGAGGAAGGAAAGGGAGACCGGCTGGAGCCACCGCCAAGACAAGGAAGATGTAAAGTACCGGTAAGCCACGAGCCACGTGGCATAGTAAAGATTAATAGTAATGGGCTGAATATAAGAGTGAGAGCTAGACAATGATAGGCCTGAGCTAATGGCCAAGCAGTTTAAATAATGTAAGAGTCTGTGTGTTTATTTTATAAGTGGGCTCCGGGACTGGCGGGACTTGGGGGTGGGAGCTGGAGAAAAATTCTCCAGCTACAAGGAGGTGCTTGGGGAATTCACCTACCTTGGTAAGGCCAGCAAAGGCAGTAGATTTTCCAGATTCCCACAGTTTGGGCAGGGTCCTGGCGGCTGGCAAGCTGCAGAGCAGTTCTTCACCCAGTGACAGTTGCAGCTGTATTTGAACCACATTCCCAAGTGAAGTCCACCCCCCTTCCCACCCCCCTTCCCCGGTCTTTGGAGGAGATGTTAGGGCTGTAGCCAGGAGCTGGCGTTTCTGTCTCTCACAGGAAGCTTTTTCATTAAATACCTCAAATGGCATTTTTCAGCAGATCTCTCTGAAGGATTTGAGGGCTGCCATGGAATTTGTTAAGTATACCTGATTTTATACAAACTTTACTTATAAAATAGGCTTAACCTTGACAACATGTTCAGAAGGCTAAAGGTTGTTCCTATAAATGAATTACATTTGTACTTAGCATAACTAAAGTTATAAGGTAACTGACCATAACTTTTATGTCTTAATTATCTTTAACAGTTTACAAGTTCTTGGCTTTTAAAGATGAGGATTTTATAGTTTCCTTCCTGTTAAGTTTGAGCCTTAAAAATGGAATTGGAGATTTAATTGAAGATCCTTTAGCATCAAAATAAAACTTTAAACCAAAAATACAGTCCACAGGGAGACTGGGAACCTTGCTTTACTGATCCTTTCTTAGTGCACCTTTATAGAATATCACACTTTTCTTGTATGAGTCACTTTATCCAAATAGCTAAAGCTTTAAAAAGTTAGCAAAGACAGAAAGGCTAGACATACATCTTCAAGTTAGGTTTTGCTAGCCTGAATGGACCTTTGGAATTCATAACCCCTTTTCATCAAACATGTTCCTTATCTGAAGAAAGTTTTTAGAAGTTTGGTGTTGAACACAGTTAGCAAAGACGTAAGTAGTTAGACATACATCTTTAAGTTACTTTCTGTTAACTTGTGTTCTTGGTTATTTTTTCTACTTTTGCTCTTTGGTCTTTTGGGGGGCCCACCACCCAGCTCTCAAATAAATCACACACAGAGGCTTATTCTTAATTATAAATGCCCAGCCTTTAGCTTGGTTTGTTTCTTGACAGCTTTTCTTAACTTTAAATTATCCCATTTACTTTTTGCCTCTGGGCTTTTATCTGTATATGTTACTTTCACTCTTACTCCATGTTCTCTTGTTCTTTCTTCTTCTCCCAGTTTTCTCCTTCTATTTATTCTATCTGTCTGCCAGCCCTGCCTATCCTTTTTCCTGCCTTGCTATTGGCTGTTCAATTCCTTATTAGACAAATCAGGTGTTTTAGACAGGTAAAGAATCACAGCTTCACAGAGTTAAACAAATGCAACATAAAAGAATGCAAAAGAGCTTTGCATCATTAAACAAATGTTCCGTAGCATAAACGAATGTAACACACCTTAAAATAATATTCTACAACAACCTGAGTAGACCTTGTAACCTTAGGAATTCATAAACTTAATCATCAAACATGTTTTTAAGTCCTATTCCAGAAACTTTGTTCGTGGTTTTGTTCTTATCTGTTATTTTTTTACTCTCAGGACAAAAATCATCATAGAAAAATCCATCCTAATCCAAAATATCTTGGAGGCCTGGTGTTGCCTCCTTAATCTAAAGTAGGAGATACAATGAGAAGCAGAGGGCTCAGTGGGACTGAGAAGTTTTGTGGGTGCTGCCTTAGTTGGTTTATACCACATGGTCCCTTAACCAAGATGGTGATGAAGTCCCATTGGCTGCCAGCCACATGGTGGCTATTTATTCCAAAGTGAGCCATCAGGCACACACTTTTTCCTCCCCCTTTTTATAAACATCTATTTTGCTATAAACATCTATTTTGAATCCAAGTTGATGTAAGAATGTTGTAGCAAATTAAGATTTTTTTCCCTATCATCTCTTTCTGTTGCAAGTTTTAAGCTAACTTTATTACAGATCTTTTAGAAACCACACCCAGCAACCTTAAAAATCCTGAGATACAGAAAGTTTACACATGGTCTTATAAATCTTGAAATAACATTTGTACTTCAGTAAGAGTAAGAGAAGGGAGTATTCAGAAAGTTAAATAAAATCAAGAAAAAGAGTATGAGGTAAGCAGCAGTAATCCTTATTGGGAATAGCTCACTCTTTAGCTGTTTTAAAGCACACAGCATCTTGCCCTGGGCTGTTCTGTTTTGCCTTCCTTCTCCCTGTCACAATCAGTGGCCAGCCTGATCCAGGACACAGAGACTTTGGAGGAGGCTTTTAAATAAGCATGCTTGGCTCTGGAGAGAGGCCATAGCTCAACCCCAGAGACAGCTTTTTAGTAGAATAGTATAAAACCCATTTTTAATATTATTTATACCCCAATGACGTTTGAATCTTTAAGACTGAATCCAAGATCAGAGGGCGGGACTAGAGCAGCTTAGAGCAGAGAAGGCTTAGAGTGTGGGGTCTTCTGAGAAGAGCAGAGAAGGCTTAGAGTGTGGGATCTGTGTGGGATCTTCTGAAAAGAACAGACAAGGCTTAGAGTGTGGGATCTTCTGAGAAGAGCAGAGAAGGCTTAGAGAAAAGGGGATTCTTGGATCATTTGCTTGTGTGGTCACAGAAGTTGTCACAATCTGAGAATTTGGCCATTTTCTGACCATTGAGACTGATTATCTCATCTGTACGGAGGCCAAACTGTTTCAGTAAGACAGCAAGACTTTAATGGAATCCCTGAGTCTAAGGACGAAAGAGAATAGAGGAGGCAGGTGAGCAGTCTAATGCTGAGTGGGAAGAGTCATGGTCAGAGATGGGAGCCGAGAGATAGAGCAAGTAGGAAAGAAGAGATCTTTCAGAAGCAGAGTGACAATGAGGTGGGAGGGGCTTAGGGAAAAGTGTTGTAAATAGGAACTCCAGGAGAGGGAGAGGCCCAGGAGGGCCTAGAGAAGCTGCCTGGTGTACCTTCTAGACTTCTGTAGAGTAGGCTCCAGGAGCTGAGAGAAACAGAAAGAGAAGGATCCAGTGAGTGGGACAGAGACGAACAGGAGCTCCTGGGGGGAGGAGGGAAGACAGGAGAGATCAGTGGTTAGCCAAGGTTAGAGAGCAAGCTCCGAGAGGCAAAAGAGAGACAGCAGGCGGGGAGGCAGCCAGGAGCAGAGTAAGTGGATAGGAGAGATCTAGAGTAAATGTCCAGGGGACAAGAATTTCCATTTGGGGCATTCCCAGGTGGACCTCGATACTTGTCAGAGAGATGCTCCGGTCCAGTGCAGGGGTGTCCTTCATCCACATGATGGTACACACTCAAAAGGGTATAGGGAGGCTTCCTGACAAACCGGGACACCTTTGTGGTAGACTCCTGGTAAAAAAGACAACAAAACAAAAACCTTAAGAGCTCTGCTTGTCTAGTGGACAGAAACCTTTAGGCTTGTTTACCCAGTAACAATCCTCCTTTTTCCCGGGCCGAGGTCCTGTTTAGGACAATGTCACCAGCACTGCCATTTTTGGGGAAGGGAAGCTTTGGACCTGACAGTCTTTACACATTTTACTCTATCTTTACAACTTCGTAAATTGTGCATTTATTTTAAGTTTTGGAATAAGGATATTCCAACACCGAAGTTTGCTGCAGAACATTAATAATTACTGACTTTAAAAAAGGCTGTGGACTTGATCACAGATATTGGGCTAAATTCACACCATTGAGAATCTTTCCTCAATTGTAATGGTCACCTTTTCATGCATAAATATTACACAAAAGGTGGAGCAAAAACACCAAATAAATACTGAGAAGAGATATCTTCAACAACCATATTAATATAATATTAACAGAAAAAAAAAGCATGAGAATGTAACGGGACTCTTGGCTTCTGAATGCCGCTTTTAAACATTAAAAACAAGTTTGGTAAAGAGTAGAAACAATTCCTAGGCCAGCAGGATTTAACTCTGCCATAGGACTCCAGGGATCTGTGTGGAAATTTAAGCATGAGCTATTTAAATGGGAAAGTGTCTGAGAGGAAATTGTCACGTTGCCCATTCCAAATGCTTGAGAGCAGAATGGCTGGTGCAGTGAGTGTAGTCTTAAGTACTGTAGCAAGCAGAAGTGGAAGAGGCAGTGCCTACCCATGACATTGCTTTTCTAAATCTGTATTACATGTAATTACTTGTGTGCATGTTTGTGGAGCATATATGTACCACTACACGTATGTGATGGTCAGAGGAGATCTTGTAGGGGTCAGTCCTCTCTTTCTACTATATGTGTCTTTGGTATTGAACTCAGATTGGCAGGATTGGAAGCAGGCACCTCTTTCTACCATTTGTGTCTTTGATACTGAACTAAGATTAGCAGGATTGGAAGCAGGCACCTCTACCTGCTTGGGCCATCTTGCTGGTCTTCATTAGTTTTTAAATTTCAGGCAAAATCAATTCTGATTAATTTACTTATAGAATATGATTAAAATATCACAACAAGTATCATACTTTGTAAAGGAAATTTTGTTTTGTTTAATTTTTATTTCAGTTTTTCAAGGGTATATAGGTGTATACTTGGCATGTTGTATTAAAACACTTGTTTTCTTTTCTTTCTTGGTTTTGCAAGGCAGGGTTTCTCTGTGTAGCCTTGACTGTCCTGGAACTTGCTCTGTAGACCAGGTTGGCCTCGAACTCACTGAGATCTACCTGCCTCTGACTCTTGAGTGCTGGGATTAAAGGCATGTGCCATCACTGCCCAACCTAAAATACAGTTCTTATCATGGGCTAAATTTAGAAAGCAACTAGAAACCACACATTATTGTTACTCATCTTACCTTTGAAACATCTTCAAGTCACTCCTTGTTTATATTTTAATGCCTGTTACAAGGGTTTAAGCTGGTCTTGGTGACCTTCATTTCTGCCTGTGTGACTGATAGTCTCTTGTGTGTCCATTGCCACAGTTGTGTTCTGCTCCATGATCCCAGGCCCGGAATAAAGATCTTAGACAAATGCACCTGTATATATTACTGAACTGGGATTGGTGAGGGTGGAGTTACATTATGTATGTAAAACATTTATGGATGTTTGACAAAATGTCATAAACGAGGAAACACATTCCTGGTCTCAATAGATTAGTTGGGGGTTTATGCATTAGTATATGAAAAAATCAGTGATACTTAGTGTATTTTAAATGATAAGAAAGGATAGTTGTCGTGCTGCTGTTACAGTAAAAGTAAATTCCTTAAAACTCTTTCAATTCAAATCCATTAGGGAATTCTCGTGGTATCTACCTTATTGCTGTTGGGTAGTTTGGTTTTGTGTTTTTTTGGACCACTGATACTGGTGTTACTGGTGAGCTTCTGCGTTGTCAGGCCCACTCCAGTTTAAAACTACTGAATTAGGATCTCTGATTTTAGGGCTGGGGATGAGCTTAGCTACAGAGCCGTTTCCGAGCTCATGTAAAGCCCCAGGTCTGAGCCCTACCCCACCCCTGACCCACCCCCCAAAAGGTAGCAATGTTTCAAAGAGTCATAAGTACCTTCCTCAGTATGTCCTTTTCACCTGAAAAATAGACATACATTATCTTACATTAAGTAGAACTTTAAAATGTAAATACTTAACGTTGATGCCTTTACATTTAGTTTTTCATAAAAATACAGTATCTACTCTGCTTCTATGGATTTTATGTTGTCTTCACTCGAGAGTTAGGTAATACATTAGAAGTACCACTAAGTTAAAATGTCTTAGTGAATAGTTCAGATTGCTCACCTGTATGAAAAGTAGTTCTCTCTAACTCATTCCATCCTGGGTCAAATTAAGAACTGAGTCAGTGGCCACATGATCATTGTGTTACTCATTTTTATTTCAGGAACCGTTGACCTTCAAGGATGTGGCCATTGATTTTTCTGGAGAGGAATGGGAATGCCTGAACTCTGAACAGCAGACTTTGTATAAGGATGTGATGTTAGAGAACTATAGGAACCTGGTCTTCTTGGGTAAGGATAACTTCTCTACAGAATTACTAATTCAGCATTAACATTCAGTTTCCTTACATTGCTGAATATATCATAGGAACCTCTGTTTTCAGGGGAGAAATGGGGGGAAGTAGTATTGAAATAGATAATAAATATTCCTATTTTTTGTCTTTATCCTCTACCTCTTTCTTCAGGTAATATACATCCCAAGTTAAAATTAGTGTTAATTATAGCAGCCAAGTAACATAAAATATTATAATTTACACTTCAAGTCCAATTATTCCCCCTTTATCTGTGATTTGGTAGTAGACAAAAGTAGAATCTGTAAATTGTAAATATATTACTATATATCTGTAGGGAAATAACAGTTGGAAAAGTAGTATTCTAGACTATTGTTACATATCTATTCTGTATCTTCTTTCATACTGAATATAATTCTAGGCCAGATGTTAGTAGTTATGAGGAAAGTAAGTGTCTTGTTCTGTTTTCCAATAACTAGGTCTTGCTGTGTCTAAGCCATACCTGGTTACCTGTCTGGAGCAAAGGAAAGAGCCCTGGAATGTAAAGAGGCAGAAGACAGTGCTCTTCTTCCCAGGTCAGTAGGAATGACGAAGCAGAGCACAAAGATGAGCGCTCCAGGGTTGGAGGGAGCCAGGCCTAAAAGATGTGTTAGGAAGCTCTGTTCCATGGGCACTGTGTTTTCAAAGTGCAGTTCTGGTCGTCCTCTCACTGTCACTGAAGGGCACTCCACTGTGGGTACCATCCTTCTAAATCCTCCCAGCCTGGTCCTCGTCTTCCTGCAGTGACCTCCTGCACATTCACAGTGGTAGCTGGACTCTTCCCCTTCACCTGTGGGGCGCTGGATAGTGTGACGGTTCTTTCCTGACATTTGGGGGCCTCAGATAATCTGGGAACACTTCTCAGGACCCATTGGTCAATATACCATAGTGTTTTAATGAAGTTAAAACTTTGAAAGAAGTTTTCTATTAATATCATTTAAATATTTGTTTTTTAATTGTCTCAGAGCTTTTTATAAACATTTTAATAGGTTTTCTGTGAATTTTTTTTTTTAACCAAACACTGACTGCTAATGATTGACAGGTATATAGAGACAAAACTGAGAACTAGTTTTCTGTAAAGACATTTTTAATTACCACCTGTTTTGTTTGTTTAGGATTTTATGGGACAGTGGTTCTTTTTTCCTTCTTTATTTTTCTTTTTTTTTCTCCTATATTTTCAGTTTTTATAGTAGGTTCCTTATATCCATTAATATTACTAGTTTTATCTGCATTTTATTATTGAATGTCTATTACAAATGCTATATATTACAGTACAGTGTATGGTGAAATTAAAATAAGATTGAGTTATGTATGTGTCTATTACCAGTAAAATTGTGTATATTTTTATTTTTGTGGATAAATAGTACCCCTGTTTTATTTATGACTGGGATGTTTTCTAACTGGATTGTGCTCATTGGTCATTTCATCCTGTCTCAGTGAATATTCTTGACAGTTACCTTATTTTATCATCTGTGTCTTGATAAATCTGTTTCCATCTCTAAGAGAAACAGTTTGATTTTAAGGTAGCTTTTGAGAAATTTCAGTTTCATTTCTTTCTTACCTAGCTTTTAACCATGATCAAACCCACATAAAATTAATTGTCTGAAAGATTTTATTACTCTGTTTTTTTTTTTTTTTTTTTTGGTTTTTCGAGACAGGGTTTCTTTGTGTAGCTTTGCGCCTCTCCTGGAACTCACTTGGTAGCCCAGGGTGGCCTCGAACTCACAGAGATCCGCCTGGCTCTGCCTCCCGAGTGCTGGGATTAAAGGCATGCGCCACCACCGCCCGGCTTATTACTCTGTTTTATACTGTTAAATATATCCAAATTGTTGTGCAACACATCTCTATAAACTTTTCATTTTACAAAAGTAAAGTTCAGTATTTATAAACAAAAACGGAGTGCTTATTTTCTTCCAGAGTTACTGTGTTCAGTATTAGTGAAGCAGTGAAGGCCATAGATTTTCTGTTCTGCTGCTTGTTGTTGTGCTAAATTCAGCATGATTTTAGATGCTAGATTTGTAAGTTGTATTCATCAGAGTCTAGTGAGTGAAATCATTTTTTTTTTTTGTCTTGATTTCTTTCAGCTCTGTTTCCTCATTATAACCAAGACTTTTCACCAGAGCAGAACCTAAAATACTCTTTCCAGGAACTGGTCAATGGAAGTCATAGGAATTGTGGCCTTGACAATTTGTACTTCAGAGAAGAAAGGGAAAGTATAGAGGGGCATGAAGTTCAGAAGACCTTTTATAATGGACATAACCAGTTTGTTACACCTGATACGAGGAGAAGCTTTCCTCCCAGGAGAGAGCGGGACCATGAAATGGCTCAAGAAAACCCTCAGGCTATGCCCGTTATTTGTGAAGAGCCATGTGCTTCTGTCAGTAAACATCAGAGTCAGTTTGTGAAATGCGCCTCTTCATTCAAAGATAATTTGGGAAATACACAAAGGGGTCTAGTCCATTCTTCAGTTAATGACTTGAACAGTTTCAAATGTAGCTTTGGGTTAAACTTTCATTCAAACATTTTTGTAGATGAGGAACTTAAAAGTGAAGAAAAAATTTCTAAATGTGATCAGTTTGAGAACTCCATTATGAAAAATTCATTAGTATATAATGAACAAATAGGACTTTCATGTGCCAAAACACAGAATTTCCATAAATATGGCAGGTTCTTTACACATCCAGTATCACCTAGTCAAAATTCAAATACAGATATTTTAGAAATCCAGTATATATGTAAAGAAAATAGGAAGGCCTTTACTGAGGAGTCTGCCTTAAGCAATCACCAGGGCACCTACATTGGAGAGACAGTATATCAATGTAATGAAAATGATAGCAACTTAACCCAGGAGTCAAATCTTGCTAATCATCAGCCTGCTCCTTTCCCAAAGAACTTTTACAAATGTTTCAAATGTGACACAGTGTTTCATCAATACTCAGAACTTATTATCCACCAATATATCCATATTCAAGATCACATTTCTAAGGGGATGGATTGTAACACAGCTTTCAGTAAAACTTCCAGCCTTACTAGAAGTAGTACTGGAGAAAAACCCTACAAATGTAAGGAATGTGGCAAAGCCTTTACCTATTGTTCAAGCCTTAGACAACATCATAGAATTCATTCTGGAGTCAAACATTACAAATGTAAAGAATGTGGCAAAGCCTTCTACCATAAATCACTCCTTACTCAGCACCAGAGCATTCATGCTGGAAAGAAGCCCTACTGCTGTAAATTTTGTGGCAAAGCTTTTAATCAAAGATCCACTGTTACTCAGCACCAGAGGATTCATACTGGAGAGAGGCCCTACCATTGTAAAGAGTGTGGCAAAGCTTTTCATCAGAGGTCAAGCCTTAGCCTGCACCAGAGAGTTCATACTGGAGAGAAGCCCTACAAATGCAAAGAATGTGGTAAAGCCTTCAACCGTAACTCACTCCTGACTCAGCACCAGAGGATCCACACTGGTGAAAAGCCCTTCCACTGTAAAGACTGTGGGAAAGCTTTTAATAAAAAATCAAGCCTTACCCAACACCAGAGAATTCATACCGGAGAGAAACCCTATTCTTGTAAAGATTGTGGCAAAGCTTTTAATCAAAGATCAAGCCTCAGCTTACACCAGAGAGGTCACTCTGGAGAGAAACCCAATAAATGTAACGAATGCGGCAAAGCCTTTAATCGTGTTTTTTTCCTTACTCAACACCAGAAAATTCATACTGGAGAGAAGGCTTACCACTGTAAAGATTGTGGCAAAGCTTTTAAACAGAGATCGAGCCTCACTCAACACCAGAGAGTTCACACTGGAGACAAGCCCTATCATTGTAAGCACTGTGGCAAGGCTTTTACTCAGAGATCCAGCTTTACTCGACACCAGAGAATCCACACTGGAGAAAAGCCCTACAAGTGTCAAGACTGTGACAAAGCCTTCAGCCGTAATTTACTTCTCATTCAGCACCAGAGAATCCACACGGGAGAGAAACCTTATCACTGTCAAGACTGTGGCAGAGCGTTTAATCAGAGATCAAGCCTCACTCAACACCAGAGGGTTCACACTGGGGACAAGCCCTTTTGTTGTAAAGACTGTGGCAAGGCTTTTACTCAGAGGTCAAGCTTTAACCGCCACCAGCGAATCCACACTGGCGAGAAGCTGTACAAATGTAAAGGCTGTGACAGTACGTTCAGCTGCTCTTCCCGCCTTGCCGACCACCAGTGCCCTTCCTTAGGCAGCTGCTTCCAAGACCCCAAATTCCTCCAGTATATGTGAGTTCATTGTTCTGTTAAAGCCAGTTAGCCAACACAGATGGATCTGTTCTTAAAACATGTAATATGTTTGATTATATAAAAGATACTTCTTTCTATTGCAATACCTTACTGGATTCCCAGAATCACATTCTGGTTTAATTGAGTAGTAGTTTTCTTTCTCGTCATGTTGTCAACTGGTTCTTTGTTAATAATTGCATTCTCAAATGTTTTTCCCAAACACTTTCCAGAATGTATACGTAAAACATATACATTGTCCAATGTATACATGAAACTGTACACCAGGCTTCACACAAGAGTAGTTTCTTGGCAGGTACCATTCGGAGTCTCCCTGTGACTTACAGTCCCATCTCTAAATTGTGTAGCACAGAGCTTGGCTGTCCCCTCCAGTTGTGTTTACCATCTTTTCTACAGCACAATTAAGATGATGTTTTCCATGAGGATAACTACAAGAAGCAGCTCTAACCCCGCATGTCTATTTTTTTCCTTCAGTCAAGAAACTGAGAAACCATAGAGCCCAGATAGCAGAAAGAAAGAAAAAAAACTTATCCAGTATAGAATTGGTCTGAGGGTCTTGACTTCAGAGTACTGCTAAAAGACTGAAAATATGTAGCTGATGCATGCTGAATGCACACTTTTTTAAAATTAAATTACATTGGGGGGGGGCTGTTGTGTACCTCAGCATGCATGTGAGAGTCAGTGGGTAATTGACAGTTCTCTATCATTTTAGCTTATCAGGCTTGGCTGCAAAGCTCCTTTATCTGAGTCATCTCTTCTGTGATTGGATTTTAGGGTCTAGGGTTTTTCTGGCTTGACTAGAACAGCCTCTATGGCAGAGAACCCTGCTGTTTTCCACCTTGTTGTAATTAGAAAGTCAGGCAGACCACCTTCAGTTTCTGCACAGTGCAGATAATCTCCCTGAGATTTGAAAACAGGACCGTATTTAAAAATGAGAATGTACAGGAAATGTAGGGAAACATTTTTATGTTGAGATTTCAAAAAGACTCCATTAAGCTGAAGGCCTTTTGAGTAAGTCTTTAGAGTTCTCCAGATCATGTCTGGTTGCATATTGCCACTGATAAAAGGCTATGTTAGTGTCCTGGTGATGAGTGCAGAATCTGTAAGAGCAAAGAAATAATGACAGCATACTTGATTAGATACGTTATCAGAAGGGAGAAGAGCTGAAAATAGGGAAAGATAGGTCAGCATCTAACCCAGAGCTGTGAAACAACTAATTGAAAACTATACATTGGAAGTGTTGTTTTCCTCAGCTGATGGAGGACCAGGTCTATTTCACCGTCAAAGGTTTTTACTGGGGCTGTTTTATTCTCTGTGTTGGCCTAGAGTCAACCTGGGTCTCACCTGCCTGAATCATCATTCGTGCATTGGTCCAGGATCACTGAGAACCGTCTCATTGCACCTAGGACCTGCCAAATATTTAGGGGTCCAGATTTCACATTTGGTTCAGGCTAACAATATGTCAGAAAGAGGAATGAATGATTCAGAATTCTTTCACAGAAGAATTTTTGGTTCTATAGAGGAATCATTCCAGTACTCAAACGAGGAAACCTGTGGCCACCTACAGGCAAAATATACTCAACAAATAAATTTCTTCACATAGCTCTTCTTTCTAAGACAACAACAAAAACAAACACACACAAAGCTGTCATGGTTGGAAACTTCTAGAAAACTTCAGTATAAAACAAGTGGACAAAAAAATAGAATTTTGTATGAGGTGATAAGTACAAAGAAGGGAAGGCGTGATTGACACATTTGAATTTGGAAAAAATTTCTTTATTGTATTCTATGTTCTGATGCACTTCCACAAGGGCGTTTTTTAGAAAAGTTGTTACTTCTATTTGTTGCTTTTACCTTGTTGGAAGATTTGAACTCTAATAGAATTATCTTAGAGAAATTTAAATTGGCTGTTTTATGTTAGTAAATGGAAAAGTAATTGTTGTGGTTTGCTTTCTGTTGCTGTGATAGAAACCATAACCAAGAGCAGCTTGGGGAGGAAATGGTTTGTTTTAGCTTCCTTTTCCAGGTAGCAGTCTATCATAGGGAAGTCAGGGTAGGAGCTAAGGTGGGAGCAGGGAATGGAACGTGGAAGAGAGGTGCTCACTGGTTTGCTCCCCCTGGCTCCTGCTCAGCCAGCTTCCCTAACCATCCCAGGACTACCTGCCTGCCCTTGGGTGGCACTGTGCACAGTAAACTGGGTTCCCCCACATCAGTCAACAATCAAAACCATTACAGACTTGGTTAGGCCATTCTGATCTGGGCAAGTCCTCAGTCCCTCAGTTGAGGCTCCCACTTTCCACATGACTCTTGGTGTGTCAAGTTGACAGTAGAAACAAACAAGGACAGTTAAGTGTAAGGTAGTGGTTAGGGCGGATAAAAGAGAAGCTGCTGTAGCAATACGGCAGCCAGAAGCCTGCATCCTGTTTCTGGTTCCACAGATGCTCAGGAGACATTCTGAGGCCCTGCTCAAGTCCACGCCAACCAGCAGTCTCCCCTCAGAAGAGACAATACGTCAGCACATTTGGTGGATATGCCAGCCTCAAACTTTTCCCAGACCTAAAAGAAGATAAGTCTGTTTGATGGGATGGCATCTTGATTTCTCATTAAACCTGTATCCAGAAATCTTCTCCCAGAACTCTGTTTTTTGATTCCTGAAGGTCTAGTAGCTCCTCCAAATATAAAATAACAAGGACAAACTCAGTAAGATTTCCTCTAAACTGCTCTAGGAATTAAGGTGTTTTGTTCTTAATTCTCTGCATTAAACAAACCAGTTGGTTCTGACATCTGTATGTTTCATCATTAGTGATGAAACAGTACCCAAATTCAAGGTCTTATGTCAACTAATGCAAGTAATATTAAGTCTCCAGCTCATAATTTCACAATATTCTGTGAGCACATAACACCCGCTTAAATAGACATTTTGTAACTGTCTACATCTTGTGTTCCAAATGGTAACTTAAGGACATGTGCCTACAGCAAATTTTAAGGAAGCCAAGAATAATTTAAGATTTGTAATATTCACAAAGAACTAAGAACATGTGTTTTGAGAACAGATAAATTACAGGAGTCTTGTGCTGTGCTTTCTTGCTAGTGTAGTGGATGTAAACAACAAGGAACTTGCTTAGGATGCCAGTTCATGAGTGCCTCCCTCTAGTTTCCTCAAACTCACAGAACCACAGTTCCTTAGACTGGAGTCCTATGATATCACATGATTTTCTTCCTTCAAATGCAAGGTCACTTAGCATAAGCCTACAAGATAGTCTGCATGTTTGTTTTTGTGCCACTGCCATCCTGTTCTTTGTAATTTTTTTGCAAATTTCATGAATATGTTTTGATCACGTTCTTACTCCCACATCTTCCCAACCCCACTTTATTGCCTTAAAGAGTGTGTGGTATAGTTGGACGTCGGATACGCTATTTCCAGCATCACCTTTCCTATTCAAGATTGTGTGAGCTATTTGGGGGCATTTTTTGTTTTCATAAAAGTTATAGCATTAAAAATGTTTCTATAAAGAGTGTCATAAGAATTTCGACTAAAATTGCATTGAATCTGCATATCACTTTTGGTCTAGGTATTTAGCCCAACAGTGAGCATGGGAGGTCTTCCTGTCTCTAGTGTCTTGTGCGTTTTTGTTGTAGAGGTGTTTAACATGTTTGGTTAAGTTTCTAACACGTAGGTGTTTTGTGTTTGTTTACATAGCCATGTGAGCATGTGGAGGCCAGATGTAAACCTTAGGTGTTAGTCCTCAGGCGCTGCCCACCTTGTCTACTGGTGTGGAATTCTGCAGGTAGGACCGGGCTGGTTGTTGGGATACGTTTTTGAAGATATCATGGATGGAGTTTTCCTGATTTCTAGTTCATGAAGTTTGCTGGTGTGTAGAGAAACTGATTTTTGTGTGTTGGATTTACATCTTGCTTCTTTGACGAAATGACCAGAAGTAAGAAGCTTCTGGGTCTTTTGGATGTCTTAAGTATAGTATATTGTCTACAAATCAGTTATTTAATTTCCTTTTTCATACCCCTTTCATTTCCCTTATTGCTGTGGCTAGGATTTCAGAAGTTACTTTGATCAAGAGTGGTTAGAGTGGGCATGGAGCTCCTTCCTGATTGTAAAGGAGGTGCTTTCAGTTTCCCCATTCAGTGTAATGTTGCAATACAGTTGTCTTGTGTTGAAGAAATATGATCCGTCTTTTACTAGTCTCTTCAGGACTTCTATCATTCAGGAGCGTTGAATTGTGTCAAAGGTCATTTTCAGTATCGATTGAAATGATTATGTTTTGTCCACATTTCTGTGTGTGATCAAGGTCTATTGATTTGTGTATACTGAACCATGTTTCATCCCTACTGGGAAACCAAGTTGATGGCAGACGATCTTTTTGCTGTGTTCTTGTATTGAGTGTGCAAGCATTTTATTGGGGATTTTTGCATCTAGAGTTGTCATGAAGGAAACTAGTTTGTAATCCCTTTCCCCCTCCCTCCCTATCCAGTTTTTTCTTAGCAGGGGAATGAGTTTGGAAGTACTCTCATTTTTACTTTTATAGAGTATCTTGAGGAGCATTGATGGTCAAGTTCTTCAAATGTCTGGTGGAATGCAGCGGTGAAGCCATTTTAGTCCTTGGTTTTCTTTGTTGGGCAGCTATTACTACTTCCATCACATTGCCCATGATAGATTTCTTTAGTTTCTTATACCTTCGTAATTAATGTGTGTCTCAAAGAACACTCTATATTTTTCAATCTATTGAAATATATTTGTTAATTGTATGTTTCATAATATCATGAAGTATCATAGAAAGTTGGATTTCAATAGTAACAATTTTATTTGATTTCTTTTTTTTTTTTGGTTTTTCGAGACAGGGTTTCTCTGTGTAGCTTTGCGCCTTTCCTGGATCTCACTCTGTAGACCAGGCTGGCCTCGAACTCACAGAGATCCGCCTGCCTCTTGCCTCCCGAGTGCTGGGATTAAAGCTGTGCGCCACCCTGCCCGGCTTGATTTTTTAATTATATTCATTTCCGGTTTTCTCTCTTTTACTGAAGTTACTTAGGCTGTTTTTCCACTGTATCTTTTCAAGCAAGTAGCCTTCCTTTCCTTTATCCTTCATAATTTTCTCTTCACATTTTGTTAATTTGCAATCGGATCTTAGCAGCTCTTTCTGTAGATGTTAGGTTTGGCTTATTCTTGTTTTCTGCAACCTTGAGATAGCATCATTAGGTTATTTTCTTGATGTCTCTTTTTAAAGTCAATACTCAGGACTACGTAAGTTTCTTTCTTAGAACTGATTTTGCTGTAGCCCACAGACTCCTATAAGTGTTTTTTTTTTAATTTTCATTTGATTCTATGAAGTTTTTAATCTTCCCATTTCTTCAGTGAACCACTTACCATTCAACAGCATATTGTAGTAGTTTATTTTCTCTTGCTGTCGATTTCTGGTTTTATCCCATTTGACCTGATGGAGTACAAGAACTTACTCAATATTTTTTATTTGTTAAGATTTGCTTTAGGGTCTGATATAAACTGTTTTGGAGAAAATTTCATGGGCTGCTGAGTCAAATGTGTATTCTGAAAAAAATGTGTATTCTACAACTACTGGAATATTCTTTGTCTGTGTGAGTGTGTCTGTGTCTAGGCTGTTTGGTCTTTGGTACAGTTTAAAGCTTATTGATCCTTTGTCTAGGTGCTCTATGTATTGATGAGAGTGGGGTGTTGAAATTACTTACTATTGTATCTGAAATTCTCTGTTCTTTATGTCCAGTAGTGTTTGTTTTATGAAATTGTCCTGCCAGTATTCACTGTGTGTATGTGTTTGTACACAATTGTTTTATCTTCTTGATAAAACTGTTCCCTTTAGTCGTGTTTAGTCATTTTTAGTTTCAACTAATTTTGCCCTGAAATCTATTCAGGTATTAGGATAGTTACTCTACGTAGCTTCTTTTTTGGGTCCATTTTCATGGAATATCATTTTCCATCCTTTCAGGCTGTGTGGCTGTGCCAGTGATGTTTATTTCATACAGGTAACAAAAATTGAATCCTTTTCAATTCAGGAGCCAGTCTCTTTAATTAGAGAGCCAACACTATTTATATTTAGGTTTGTTATTGAAAGATACATACTAATTTCTATTTTTTTCTGGTTGTTTGGAATACTCTATTTTCTTCCAAATTAATCATAGAGTGTTGCTGCTTTATTGTTATACTATTTCTATCTTATTTATCATTTGATTATTTGTTTAGTAAGATTTATCCCTTCATAAGCTCTTAGTATTGGGTATATTGTTTTCTTTTTTTTTTTTTTTTGGTTTTTCAAGACAGGGTTTCTCTGTGTAGCTTTGCGCCTTTCCTGGAACTCACTTGGTAGCCCAGGCTGGCCTCGAACTCACAGAGATCCGCCTGGCTCTGCCTTCCGAGTGCTGGGATTAAAGGAGTGCCCCACCACCGCCCGGCTTGTTTTCTTAGTGTAGGATTCTTTTATATATTTGCAATACTGGCTTAATGGTGTAGAATTATTTTGGTTTATAGTTACCTTGGAAGGTATTATTTCTCCACTGATTTTCAGGTATACTTTTGCTGTCAGCATTACTATTGGTTGGTGGCCATTTTCTTTCAGGGTTTAAAATACATCATTCTCTGTTATCTTGGCCTTAAAAGAGTTTTTGTTGAGAATTCTACTGTTATCCTGACCAGTTTTCCTGTGTAAGATGCTTCGTTCTTGAGCTTTCAGTATTCTGTTTGGTACTCCTGGAATCTCACTAGAATGTTACATAGAGAAGTGGATATCCATATATTTCCTTAGATTTGAGGTATTTTCAGCTATTTTATGAAATAGGTTTTCTGTGTCTTAGGCTGTATTTCAGCTCCCTCTTCTATACAAAAGATTCATAAATTTCATCTCTTAATCATGGCCCACAAGTATGGAATATTATAATGATGATATCTCATTTTTATTGCTCTCTGAATGTAAGAATTCATCAGCCTGTGTTCAGTTCCTCATAGTCTTTCTTTGCTCTAGTCTGTTGCTGAAGCTTCCGGTGGAGTCTTGATTAAGCTTTACAAGATTATTTCCCAGAAAATTAATTTTTTTCTCCTCTTTGCTTAATTTCTCATCCAAGTCCTGACTAATTTTTTAAAATTGTTTGCTTTTTTATTTGTACTCTTTTAAAGTTATTATCTTTCTTACAATAGACTTCAGATTATTTTGGCAAGCATTTAATCTGCATCATTATGTTTACATATGAATATTTAAAGGCTATTGGCTTTTGGTGGAGTTATTTTTTCTTGATTTTTCATATTGTTTTTGTGTTTACCTTCTGAGACAGATACTTTGCCACTGTTCCCTGAGAATCTTAGCAATCAGTCTTCTCTTAAGGGCTCAGTCCCCAGGGGGATTCCTTGGGGAGGAAACAACCTCAGATAATAATGATAACAGCACAAAACCAAGCCAAATATATAAAGATAGCATGAAACAATAACACACACTACATTTCCAATAACAGCAGAAAAAAAGGGGTGCAAAAAATAAGATAGGTTAAAGAAATGGAAAACTAAATAGTTTGAAAGTGAATGGTGAGAGAGAAAAGGAAAATAGAAAACTACCAGATTAGATTTGAGAAAAAGTGTGGGGAGGTGAGCAACAC